TGGAGATGCCTGAAGACCAGCAGTCAGGGAGATGTCATCAGCAAAGGACCAGGTGGGTTACAGAGGAGGTACTTTTGGCCAAATGGTTAGCACTTCTGGCTGTCAGTACTAGGGTTGTTGGCTCGAATCCAAACCATGACACCACCTGCCTGGAGTTTGCATGGTCTGCCTGTGTGGGTTTCCTCCGGGTACTCCGATTTCCTCACACACTCCAAAGACATGCTGCTAGGTGAATTGGCTCTAGTCTAAAATTGTCCCTAGTATGTATATGTATGATTGTAAGTTAGGGACCTTAGATTGTACACCCCTTGAGGGTTAGGGACTGATGTGAATGTACAATATATATGTAAAGCGCTGCGTAAATTGATGGCGCTATACAAGTACCTGAAATAAATAAATATTTTTAGTGTCTTTAGTTCCATTTTAAGACACTGGCTGAGTGAATAGGGATGAGCCTGAGTTTGGTCAGATTTTGGGTTCAGACTGATTCAAAAGAAAGCTGTCACTCCTGCCCAATCAATTGCTACCAAGGCATTCCCTATCCCACAGCTGTAAGCACACAAAAGGGGCGGGGCTACTTGTGACATCACTGACCAAATATGGCCACATGGTCAGAGTGGTGAGCCATACAAAGCGAGGGCTCATGTGGAGAAATTCTGAATGTTATAGTTTCCAGCGTTACCTGTTGGCTTCATATCTGCTGTACAGGGGTCTAACCTGCTTTTCAGTGCATCTTAATGAATGAGAAATCAATTGAGAGATCTAAATGGAAGAAAAGGCAAACAAAATGAAAGAGTGGAGGTGTGGAGACTCTTACACTGCGCACAGTTGACACGCATATGAGACCCATAAACTCATCCATCATCTACCCACATCCAGATATATGTCCATTTCCAGGAGAACAGACTAGATCCAATGGGTGGCAGCAGCTCCCTAGTCCCTGTGCCAGCCTGATGACCCCACTTCTTCTGACCTCCCAATAAACCTGCTACCACAGCTACCATGTCACCTACATAGGTCATAGAGAGATGAGCCCTCCAGCCAGCCTGAATCATCACACGGAGCATTAAAGCTGGTCATGTGATGTGAGGGAAGCACAATATACAATGACAATGTAGAAGTCTTCGTGTACTGGGCGCCTAGCCCTAGACCAATCAGTGCACAGGTCATTCATGCCATGTAAACCAACCAGTGTCAGCACAGAGCTCCTATATATAACCCCACACAATCACACTGACCTGACAGCAAGCCGGCACGACAGACGTGGACCTTCACTCCCTCTGGGCTCTCATGCTGCTCATTTCCAGGTATATTTTTCGAGCACCTTCACCCACCAATCAGACCTCTTCCTCGCTGACGTCACCTCCTGTGCCGCTTCCCACACGCCTCCGCTGTGTAGTTCGGCTTCTGTTTCCTTGCTGTGTATGATAGCTGCCCGCTATTGTGGAATAATGGGTGTAATGAAGGCGGTTTGTGTCAGCAGCCGCGGTGCCGGAGCCAAGTTGTACGGACATGTTCCCTTTCTGTGTGCGAGAAACGAATTACGGTTTAAATAGCCCTGATGTAGAGCACATGATTGTGGCTAATGTGATGCCCTCTGCTGCTCGTGCTGTGGATAGCTGTACAACAGGCGCTGTTCTAGTTCAGTTTGTAGGGTTACGTCATCAGAACACCAACCAAGGCAGTCCTCCATAGATTTACATGTGGTTTTCAAATGAAGTTATTTATGACAGCAGAGCGCCACATTAAAATTCCGGTAAAAGGGTCGAGTTAGTAAAAGTATATGTGAACCAGCACCTTGTAAATCAAGTATAACTAAAGGCAAAACTTTTGGATGGAGTGGATATGGATTAGAACCCTGTCAGTTTTTACTGCTGTCAATGTCCCTGTTAGGGAGATTCACCCTCTCTATTTGTCCTGTTTACTCTTATTGTTGAAAGTAAAAGAAACCCCCAAATTTGGGTTGTCCCCAGCAAAGTAATTGAGGGGAAATCTTCCAATGGGGACACTAGTTCTAATGACCTGGAGGGCCCCAAAGAATTCCCTTAATTTGTAGGGATTTCCTCTCACTTCCTGTTTGGCTATGGGACAGGAAGTGAAGGGAAATCTCCACAAAGGGACACAGATGGTGTAAAAATGCCTGACGGGTTATAACCCTCCCTTACTGTATCCAAAATAAAACCGTTTTGCCTATAGTTCTACTTTCAGCCTAAAGTTATTGTAAACCCTCACCTTGTAAAACAAGCCATTCAGTTTACAAGAGAAATGAAAGGCAACACATTTGTGTAGAGATATAAAAAAAAAATGATATACGCTTTTCCCCCCGTTTTTGTAAGTGATCACATTCCCTCTATTCTCGGCTTCATAAGAGCTAGGGGAACGGGAGCAGAAGCAGCAGCACACTTATCTTCTTAGTGAATGGCTGTGCAGGAAGGGCGTGTCAGGACAAGTCTAATCACTGGAGAAGAGCACAGCTAAAAAAACTGACCACACTGTGTTCTCCTGCCTAATGTGGTCAGTTTTTAATAGGAAAGCCGAGGGACTGACAGGAACACCAGAGATTTTACACAAAGGAAGCAATACAAACAACACTTTTTTTCATACAAGTACATGGTACAAATATAAATTTGTGTTGCACTAAGTGTAAACAATCAATTGCAAACAAATATGTTAGTGATATACATTCAATGCTACATAAATCGATTGTGCCCAAAAATAAACATGAATGGAAAGCAAATCACAAACATTCCATGAAAGTATAAAACCAGTCCCCTGGTTTCTGTGGTGAGTAGTGAAAAATCTTCATTCCAACATAACCACCAACGTGAATAGCCACCACCGTGATATCAAATTGGAGGCTTACCAGATCCTTAGACCCCTTTACTATAGGGGGTCATAACACGCTCAGTATATATATTCTCATCCAGATTCATGTGTCTATATGGAACCAAATGCACCGCCCGAGGCTCATCAGGCTGTCCTGATGTTTAGGGTCAGTGTTTGTTCATGTAAAATAAAGAGGTGCCTCTCATAGTGCAGTAAAATACAACCAGTTTATTAAGCAAACAAAAAAGCATCAATCCACAAAGGTGGTCCAAATGACAATCCAAAGATGATGTCAGAAGGGAGTATCACGTACCTGGTGATGGAGGCCAATGGAGAAAGGGCTTCCCTTGCGGCTAAGTTCCGGACTCCCCTGAGAGTGGGACAGTGGGAGTCAGGCCCAAAGTTGCTCAGGTCACCTGTAGATGTGCTGGTTGGTGGTCCACTCAGAAGCACAGCTGGTGCACGGAGATAGATCTGCAGACAGGAGGCACCTGTGCATGGTATGTAAGCCCTTCTGGGATTTAGATGTTTACTGGGTATTCGGTTCAAGCCAAGGTCAGGTACCAGGTGGGAATCAGAGCAGACGTAGTCAGATGGGATAGCCGAGGTCATACACAGAGGAGCAAGAGAGAGAGTATCCGTAAGCCAAGCCGAGGTCCGATCAGGGGTAAAGCAGAGTAGACAGGTCCAGGAGCAAGCCGAGTCGGTAACAGGAAATCACAGGAACAGGGCACGGGGAGCTAGAGATCATCCAGCAACTTGAGGAAGTGATGAACCTCCTTATAAAGGCCTTCTGGCACCAAATGAGGCTGATGTGTGCTTCTGCGGTCATGCAGAGTACTGGCAGAAATGCCAGATCTTCCAGAACTTCTGCCGTGGACAGGGCCCTGACAGGGAGGCTCTTCCGACGCGTTTCGTCATAACCAGACATCTTCCTGGGTTAGGAGAATGCCCTTCGTCATCGTGCTCCTGTAGCAACTTCAGATGCATCTGCCTCCAGGATGAAGGGGAGTGTTGGCTCTGGGTGCTGTAACACAGGAGCGGAGGTGAACTGATCTTTTCATTGCTCAAACACTTTTTGAGCTTCCTGGCTCCAGCAAAAACATGTATGCTGGCAGGTGAGTTGAGTAATAGGGGCAATGATTGTGGAAAAGCTCTTAATAAATTTCTGATTGAAGTTGGCAAAACCCATGAATCTTTGGACCCCTTTCCTGTCTGAAGGTGCAGGCCAATACAGGATAGCTGTCAGGAATGGACTTGCCAGTAATGGTGGGACCCACCTGCCTTGTGGGCTGCAGTACCAGGGCTGGCCAGCGGGTGCTCCCGGCAATCAGAGACTCAACCCTGCAGCCAGCCAAACACCTGAAGTTGATCATGCAGGTGTATTTAAGGGATGGCCAGACCTGCACTCTCTGCCTTGGTGTGTGTTTTTTCCTGGGCCTGTATCTTGTTCCTGCATCCCTGTCCCTGTCTGATTCGTTGCTGACCCTGCCTGATCCGGACCTCTGCTGACTTCTCCTGTTTTATCCCTGGCTTGTGACCCCGACCATTCTCTGCCTGACCCCCTGTACCTACCTGCCCGATTGTTATTGACCCGGCCTGCCTGACGACGCTTGCATTATATGTACTGTTATCTGTGGGTGGTTGGTTTGGTTCGTTTGCACTGTGTTATGTTTTAGTATTGCACTGCGTTTATGTTTGTATTGTTAGTCTTTAATAAATTATATTGTTTAGAACTTATCTGAAGCCTGCGTTTCCCTGCGTCAGTCACATACCTCTGGTCACACCCCCCCCGGAGCCCTGACATTACACCAAGGCCAATCCTGACCAGAAGTGGCTGCACAGGGAAGCCATCTTGGCTTGTTGCTGGGAAGGATGGATCTTGATGAGGTTGTGTATTTATCTCTGCTAGTGTTTGATGACAGAGAGTATGCTTATCAAACTCTGAAGGAGTATCCCCGGGATCAACTGCTAGAATGTATACGTATCGCTCATGTTCTAGTAGATCAGGGCACAGAATTCTCTGAGGTGCAGCCATTGATTCAAGTTTGTGCTGAGTTGGTTTCATCTGGTACCCCCCCGAATGCAGGGATGAATTTTTGCCGCCATTTAGTGCCGACCAGGTAGAGTCCCTGGTATGGTTATTAGAGGATGATGTGGATTACTTTCTGGAGCGTTATTCTGCATGTTCACCACAGATACTAAGAGATTGTATAAACGCAGTGCAGTCATTGACCAGACAGGCTTTGTGTAAACTGAGCTTCGTTCAACCCATACTGCAGACATGGTCAGACTTGTTGCACCCAGCCTCAGTCAGCTTACAACATCATTTCTCCACTCAAGGCACTCTTCCTGCATCCCCAACAGTACCCCCAGTGACTGCCCAGTATACTCTAACTACCATATACCAGTTCTCTGCTCCCACTCGCTGCACCTATCCTTTCTTTAACCCTGTAAAGAAGTCCTCTGTAGCAACTGCTCCCTCCTCTGTTCCATCTTCCAACTCTTCTCTGTCCTCAGCTGCTCCATTCGTTTGCAGACCTGCGTTTACTTGCAGTGCCCCAGTAGTTAAAACCAGAAAAAAAGCGGAAATTCTTTCCAACCAGTACCATCCTGCCAGTATCCAAACCGGTGAGCCTGCCGTCTGAGAACCTGCCTTCCGTGGTTCAGCCTGGTGCCTCGGCACCCGCACTTCAGCCTGATGTCTGTACCCAGCCTGATGAACTGATCCAGCCTGATGATCCTATCACGCCTGATGACCCAGTGCCCGCTGTTGAGCCAGACAATCCGGTACCTGATGACCCGGTGCCCACTGTCATGCCTGGTGACCCGATGCCCGCTGTCGAGCCAGACTATCCAATGCCTGATGACCCAGTGCCCGCGGTCATACCTGGTGACCCGATGCCCGCTGTCGAGCCAGACTATCCAATGCCTGATGACCCAGTGCCCGCTGTCATGCCTGGTGACCCGATGCCCGCTGTCGAGCCAGACGATCCAGCGCCAGATGACCCGGTGCCCGCTGTCGATCCAGACGATCCGGTACCTGATGACCCAGTGCCTGCTGTCATGCCTGGTGACCCGATGCCCGCTGTCGAGCCAGACGATCCAGCGCCAGATGACCCGGTGCCCGCTGTCATGCCAATTGACTCAGAGTCCACTGTTGTGCCTGGTGACTCGGTGCCCACTGCCTTGCCAGATGACGCGGTGCCCGCTGTCGAGCCAAATGACCTGATGCCTGGTGACCCGATGCCCGCTGTCGAGCCAGACGATCCAATGTCTGACCCAGTGCCCGCGGTCATGCCTGGTGACTCGGAGCCCACTGTCATACCTGGTGACCTGATGCCCGCTGTCGAGCCAGACAATCCAATGCCTGATGACCCAGTGCCCGCTGTCATGCCTGGTGACCCGATGCCCGCTGTCGAGCCAGACGATCCAATGCCTGATGACCCAGTGCCCGCGGTCATGCCTGGTGACCCGGTGCCTGCTGTCGAGTCAGACGATCCGGTACCTGATGGCCCGCTGTCGTGCCAATTGACTCAGAGCCCACTGTCGTGCCTGGTGACTCGGTGCCCACTGCCTTGCCAGATGACGCGGTGCCCGCTGTCGAGCCAAATGACCTGATGCTTGGTGACCCGATGCCCGCTGTCCAGCCAGACGATCCAATGTCTGACCCAGTGCCCGCGGTCATGCCAGTTGACTCGGAGCCCACTGTCGTGCCTGGTGACTCGGTGCCCACTGCCTTGCCAGATGACGCAGTGCCCACTGGCGAGCCAAATGACCTGATGCCTGGTGACCCGATGCCCGTTGTCGTGCCTGATGACCCGGTGCCCGCCGCTCCGCCTGGGGGCCCAATGCCCGTCGCCCTCCGCCTGGGGCCCAATGCCCGTCGCCCTCCGCCTGGGGGCCCAATGCCCGTCGCCCCTCCGCCTGGGGGCCCGGCGCCCCTCCGCCTGGGCGCCCGGCGCCGTCGCGCCCCTCCGCCTGGGGGCCCGGCGCCCGTCGCCCCTCCGCCTGGGGGCCTGTCGCCCCGCCTGAGGGCCCGGCGCCCGTCGCCCCGCCTGGGGGCCCGATGCCCGTCGCCCCGCCTGGGGGCCCGGCGCCCCTCCTGGGGGCTCGGCGCCCGCTGCTCCGGTGTCCTGCCCGATGTGCCTGCTGCCCGGAGTCCTGCCCGATGTGCCTGCTGCCCGGAGTCCTGCCCGATGTGCCTGCTGCCCGGAGTCCTGCCCGATGTGCCTGCTGCCCGGAGTCCTGCCCGATGTGCAGTCTTTGATATCCCGCCAGTTACCAGACCCGGGCGGTGGAACATTTTGCCCAGCTAGGACTGTTTGGAGCGTCCTGAGGCCGCTCCTTGAGGGGGGGGTACTGTCAGGAATGGACTTGCCAGTAATGGTGGGACCCACCTGCCTTGTAGGCTGCAGTACCAGGGCTGGCCAGCGGGTGCTCCCGGCAATCAGAGACTCAACCCTGCAGCCAGCCAAACACCTGAAGTTGATCATGCAGGTGTATTTAAGGGATGGCCAGACCTGCAGTCTCTGCCTTGGTGTGTGTATTTCCTGGGCCCTGTATCTTGTTCCTGCATCCCTGTTCCTGTCCCTGTCCAATTCGTTGCTGACCCTGCCTGATCCGGACCTCTGCTGACTTCTCCTGTTTCATCCCTGGCTTGTGACCCCGACCATTCTCTACCTGACCCCCTGTACCTACCTGCCCAATTGTTATTGACCCGGCCTGCCTGACGACGCTTGCATTATATGTACTGTTATCTGTGGGTGGTTTGGTTTGGTTCGTTTGCACTGTTATGTTTTAGTATTGCACTGCGTTTGTTTGTATTGTTAGTCTTTAATAAATTATATTGTTTAGAACTTATCTGAAGCCTGCGTTTCCCTGTGTCAGTCACATACCTCTGGTCACACCCCGGAGCCCTGACAATAGCAGATACTTTCTGAGGGTCCATGGAGATCCCCTCGGTAGAAATTATGAGCCCCAGGAACTGGATGGACTGCTTCTCAAACTCACACTTCTCCACCTTGGCGTACAAGCCATGCATCCTTAGAGTGTTTAGCACTTTCCTAACGTGATCATGATGGAGTTCTAGTGAGGTAGAGAAAATTAGGATATCGTCCAGGTAGACAATCACAAAAAGGTCAATGTACTCTCTAAAGATGTCCACAAAGTGTTCAAATGTAGCAGGGGCATTACATAGCAAAACATCTGCGTTGATGAGTCCCTCATTAATTTTTATGGCCGCCTTGCATTTAAACAATTTCTCCCCAGCAAGTGTGCCAGATATGGGGTCAAGTTGTATAGGACCTGTGAAAGGGCAACAGGCTATACATAAAAGTTTCGGATTTACGAGGGATAGTCCCATGGAGCCCCCCCCCCCCCGGATGCTCAGACTACACAGGGAGCAGTGGCAAGATAGTTTGGGACTTGGTGTAATCCTTTTTTCCATATGGGGTACAACTTATATGTGGACAAATTTTATTCAACTGTGAAACTATTTAGACATTTGTACAATCTTGGAATTGGCGCATGTGGCACCGTGCGACCTAATGTGTGCCACCCATTAGAAGTGGGTGGATGCAGGGCGGTATATTCTAATGGTGGGCATAACACACACTTTTTCTGGCAGAGATTTCTTTTATTTTCATTCAGCCTACAGACTGCATACAAAGAACATCGCATATATACCCAACAAGGACCAGCGACGTACTGGTAAATCATCCTGGTATCGTTTTTTTCAGCCGGTGATCCTTGTTGGGTATATATGCTATGTTCTTTGTATGCAGTCTGTAGGCTGAATGAAAATAAGAGAAGAAATCTCTGCCAGAAAAAGTGTGTGGTATGCCCACCATTAGAATATACTGCCCTGCATCCACCCACTTCTCATGGTGGGCACACATTAGGTCGCACGATGACACATGCGCCAATTCCAAGATTGTACAAATGTCTAAATAGTGGCACGCTTGAATAAAAATTGTCCACGTATAAGTGGTACCCCATTTGGAAAAAGGATGACACCAAGTCCCAAACTGTCTTGCCACTACTCCCCATGTAGTTCGGGCATCTGGGGGGCTCCACGTGACTATCTTTTCCCTCATAAATCCAAAACTTATATGTATAGCCTGTTGCCCTCTCAAAGTCTTCTATATCTTGACCCCATATCTGGCACACTTGCTGGGGAGAAATTGTTTGAATGGAAGGCGGCCAGAAAAATTTAATAAGGGACTCATCAATGCAGATTTTTTACTGGGGAGTATAGACATATGCGAATTTTAGGTTAAGGTCATTTACAAGGGGCCAAATTTTGTGAGGCCAGTCAAATTCAGGGTCACCTCGAAGACGACAGTATACTGTCACTGAAATGCATAAAACATGTTATACACTCATATCTATGCCTGGCCATGGCAGCAGAGAACACGGATATATGATGAATCTGGTCTGTAGATCAATACAACCGCAATTCATTTTTTTTTTTTTTTTTTAGTAATGCCCATGTTGATTAGGCCCAAAAATTGTAAACTCGGATACCGTAATGGGCTTCCATGCAAATGGTCTGGCAAAATTTGAATTTGGGTTGGCGGCGATAAATTGTTGTACATATAAATTGCTTTGATCCACAATCGATGCATACAGATATTCCATGAAAAACCGCTCCAAAATATCAAGGGGAGTAGTTAAATTTGCTGTTTCCACCTGCATTCCGGGTTGGGCAGTGAATGGGGGAAGTAAGGGAGCTGCAGAATTTGTGGGCTGACAATCGGGATTTGCAAGCACATCCGGAAGGATACTAAGGGCTATATGGGCCTGTGTGTGAATTCTTGGTGGCTGTGGGACAATACTTGTGCTTGCCACCACACCAGCTAGAGCGGCACTAGTACTGGCACTCTGCTGCATATGAGTCATCAAAATTGACCGGCAAGTGTTAACAGAGATCAGGCATGAGTCTGCGAACACTGCGGTTTGGTGTGCAATGTATCAAGTGACAGTGACCTACCGACACTGCACTTGCTGGGGGGGAAGGGTAAGCATAGGTGTTAACGCAGGTGCTGGGGCTGATCCCGCTAACGCTGCATTTTTGGGGACACTATACTAAAGTGAACGCTGGTATAGTGCTGATCTGATCAAAGATATTGATCCGTTCAGACACTATACTAGCAATGGAGGTTTATTGTGTATGAGCGGTTTCCTGGCAATCAAGGGGTTAAATGTGATTACTGGTATACTGATGGGCAATCTAAAGCTATCTGGGAGGGGTGTGAAAACCACAGGAGCACAAATCGCATATATACATGTTATTTTGCGCACTCGTGCCGCTCTGTAGCAGTATTTCTGCTATAGGGTGGTCAGGAAGTGGTTACAGATGCGGTTTGTGTTACAGTGCTGCGTTACTTTAACTGACAATTGCGCAGTCATGCAACGCTGCACCAAAATATAATTACTGTCCTTTTTTCCTCATGAATTGAGCTTTCTTTCAGTGGTATTTGATCGCCTGTGTGTTTATTTTTTATGCTAAAAAAAAGACTGACAATTTTGAGAAAAAAAACAATATTTTGGACTTTTTGATATACATGTAAAAAAATTTAAAATTCAAATTTCATCCTAAATTTAGGCCAAAATGTATTCTGCGACATGTCTTTGCTTAAAAAAATCCCAATACATGTAAATTAATTGGTTTACGTGAAAGTTATAGCGTCTACAAATGACGGTATATATACTGAAGTTTTTTTTTTTTTATACTAATAATGGCGGTGATCAGCGACTTATGGTGGGACTGCGGCGGACATTCTGACACTGGGGGGAACTGCTTTGGGGTCACTGACATCCCCAGTGACACCAATACAGCGATCAGTGCAAAAAAAACCCACTTACACTGTACTAATGGCACTGGGAAGGAAGAGGTTAACATTAAAAGGGTTAACTGAGTGAGGGGAGTGTTTAAGTAGGGGGCGAGGAGGTGTGTGCTTCACTGTAAGCACACTGATCTGGAAGGCTAAGCTAATCCATCCAGATCAGTGTGCTCAAACTAACAGGGAGGAGAGCTGCATTGAAAACAATGCAGCCATCCTCCTTGTCACTGTTTGCGGGTAATCACTGGCCGGAACTCGGTAGTTTGCGCCTGCGGGTGTCATCAG